CATACTTTAATTTTGGAGACTTTTCAATTTTATATCAAAATAATAATTACCAAAAATAATAATAATAATAGTAAACAAAAAAAATCACTTAAAAAGAAACTGTTATCATTTTTTTTTGTTTCGCTTTCCCTTTTTTCTTTTGGACATTCTTTCTTTTTGGACATTCTTTCTTTTCTTTTTTGTTCCTATTTCCCCCTTTTTTTTTTTTTTTTTGTTTCTGCTTCTTTCTTCTTCTTTTTTTCCTTTTTGCTTCCTTTTTTTTCGTTTTTTTTTTCTTCTGTATTTTTTCTGTTCTTTCTTTTCTTTTTCTTTTTCTTTTTCTTTTTTCTGCACTCCTTATTCTTCTTGACTTTATTTTCGTTTCTGTTTTTTCCTTCTAATGCCTAAACCCCACCTCATATTTCCTAAGAGAGTTTCTTTTCCCAATTCTTTTCCCTATTATTGCATAATAACATATCCTAAACTTCATGCATTGTAATATCCCAAATTTTCGGGAATATTTAAGTGTAAGTTAAGGACTTGATTGTGAGAAAAGATTGTTTTGGGGCCTAATGTGAACATTTTGAAAGTTGAGAGACTTAAAGAGGGAAAGATTTTGGATAAGGATGGCTTATTTCTTTTTCTCCTTTTCCTCTTTCTTCCTCACCCGATTCTGCTCTTCTTCCCGCTGCAGCCCGAAATTCCCCCCCCTCCAAGCCGCCGGCACCAACTTTGAAAAAATTGGTGAGAAAGCTTGGAATTTCTCCTCCTTTCTTGTCCAAGAACCTGATTTGGAACCCAGAAATCTTTCCCCCTTGCTGGAAAAGCCGGATCTGCCTTGCTCTGCTTCTTCACCGCCGGCTGCTCTTGCCTTGTGGGGGCGAATTGGCTTGGTTTTTTTGGTAAGAAATAGCCATGAATCTCCCTTCTCTTGTTTGAATTGCCCTGGGTTTATGTTAATTGCTCTTATTTCCTCCAATTTTTACAAGACCCGTGAGTTTTCCCTGCAGCTTGCCGCCGGCCTTCTTCCCCCTGCCATGTCCGGTTTCTGCAGCTGTAAATTATGGTATGTGACAGCCTTTTAAGGCTTAAATTGTCCATTTAGTTTGCTGCCTTGTGTGTCCGTGAATTGCTAGAAAATTGGGGATAATTCCGGTAGCTTTAGGACCATGATTTAGCTTAATTGAAGTGGGATTTATGTGATTGAGTGTTAATTGATTGCTATGTGATTTTTGGAGAAAATCCCGTGAGATTAGCTAGTGTTTTGGCCAATTTGTGGAAGTGGAGTTACTGTTCACGTCGGGGTCACTGTTCACCGGTTACTGTTCACAGGTTACTGTTCACACCCCGAGGGCCAACATTTAACGGGAATTTAAATGATTAGTTTGTGATATGAGAACGAATTTGGAGATGTCCGATCATGTGAAAAGTGATAGAAATAGCATTGTGATTAGGAATGATCCTAATGATGATTTCACTTGAATTTGTGATAGTCCGGTATTAATTCTGAGGTGTTTTGATTAGGTTCCCGATTATTCTGTCAGTTAGTGCGTGAATTGAGTGCTCGGTTTTATGCGAGTGAGGTAAGTAAATTATGGTAACGCCCTTTGATTTTAAAAGCATGTTTTGATTTGTTTTTGAAGTGGTGGCGGGACTAAATCCGTTTTACACGAACATGACTGATTTGAAGTGAAATGTTTTATGCTTTTCACTAAATTGAGCATGCCTACTTGAAATTTAAGTGATTGTCCTGATGATTTGAAAGTGATTGTGAATTGTGATTTTCCTGTTAACTTCTGCCTGTTTTGTCTCCGATGTGGTCATGTTATTCGTGTGCCCGCTAGTGGGAGGTTTATAAACGCTAGCACATGTCGACATGTTACTGATAGAACCGGTTCGTTTCTGTAACCCTACTAGTGGGGGTTAAATACTAGTAATTTCTGTAGCCCGCCAGTGGGAGGTTTATAACACTGGCCGTGACCTATAGAGGAGACGTCTATTTCGTGCCCGTACTGTATCTGTTTTCGTGATTGTACTTGTTGGCATGCTTTAAGTTTGATAAGGGGCACTCCATATTTACTTACTGAGTTTATCTCATAGTTTTCCTTGTCCACCATTTCAGGAAGCGAAACCGAGGACGGGGAAACCATGGGAAGTGACGAGTTAGAAGGCTAGCCATTTTGTAAATTGATATAGATTTTAGAAATAAATCATGATCTTGTATTTGGAGATTGTAATTGGAGATTTATGATATTAGAGCAAATTATAAGATTTGATCTTCAGATTTTGATGGTATCAGATGTGATATGATAAGTTCCGAGCCTTGTGCATTTGTGGGACCCGTCTCACGAGTGCACGGCGTCTGTCGCGCCTCGAATTTGGGTTTTGGGGCGTGACATGCATAAAACAAACTAAAAATCTGCAGATAGTTATTTTGGATCGTAGGAAACCAAACTAATGGGGAAAAACAAGTGAAATCATGTTTGTGGCAAGCTTCAAGACCAGTTACAGATAAACCAAGAAAGAAACAATTAGAAGGGCAATCAAGCAATTCACAAAAGAGAAGAAGAAAGAACAAAATATGAACAACAAAAAATGTAGAAAGAAAAAAAAAATTATGCACAATGCACACCTGAAAAAAAGGAAAAATCAAGACTTTATTCTCTTGAAGTCCAAATACAAGTTTTTGCGTTTCCCCTTTCTCTCTCTCCACTCTCGGATCTCTCTTCCTCCAATTTCCTTCCTTCCTAAAGCCGAAGGTTTCCCCCTTTTATACAGAAATAGAGAGAATTCAAACCCTTTTCTAATTCTAAATTCTTATCCCAATCCTTAAAATTACAGATAATAATCTAGCCCTATTAGAATTTGGAATTCTAAAACTAATCTAGTTCTTTACACATCTTCCCTCTTTTAAGGCTAGATTCATACCTTTAAAATATCAGGACTCCCAATTTGAATCGACTTTGAAAATCTTCTGCGACTCTTGATAAGGGCTTCAAATTCGAAAACCTCTTTTTGTGTTGTTGTGATCTTTCTAAACTTCAAGTGGATTTGTAGATAAATCAAAAGAATTTGGGAATTTTGGGAGAGTGGCTCATGGCAAGAAGAAGAATCATGAAAGTGAAGGGCTAGGGTTCATCTGAACCCTAGTTCCCCTTTTTATTTTTTTAGCCTTCAAGCAAAACGACATAGTTTTGCAATCTCTTCCCCTCAGCCCTTTAAGTTTCATGCTTTTATAAAAATAGTCCACTAACTTTTACTTTTATCACTTAGCCCTAATTAAAATTGGGTTATGACGGTTGCCCCCTCTTTACTTTTCTTTTGTAAAAGGAAAAGTAAAGAATAAAAGAATAACTCAATTTTAAGCTTTGAAAACAATGCATAAGTGAAAGTTGCAGCCTTCATCTTATCTTTTGCAAGATGCGGTCTTCATTTCCTCTTCTTCTTGAAATGTGGTCTTCATCTAGGATATGACTTCTAAGATGTGGTCTTCATCTTATCTTTTGCAAGATGTGGTCTTCATCTCTCCTTTTTCCTCAAATGTGGTCTTCATCTAGGATGTGACTTCTAAGAGATGTGACTTCTAAGATGCGGTCTTCATCTTATCCTTTGTGAGATGCGATCTTCATCTCTCCTTTTTCCTCAGATGTGGTCTTCATCTAGGATGTGACTTCTAAGATGCAATCTTCATCTTATCCTTTGCGAGATGTGGTCTTCATCTCTCCTTCTTCCTTAGATGTGGTCTTCATTTAGGATGTGACTTCTAAGATGCAGTCTTCATCTTATCCTTTGCGAGATGCGGTCTTCATCTCTCCTTCTTCCTCAGATGTGGTCTTCATCTCTCCTTCTTCCTCAAATGTGGTCTTCATCTAGGATGTGACTTCTAAGATGCGGTCTTCATCTTATCCTTTGCAAGCTGCGGTCTTCATCTCTCCTTCTTCCTCAGATGCGGTCTTCATCTAGGATGTGACTTCTAACATGCAGTCTTTATCTTATCCTTTGCGAGATGCGTTTTTCATCTCTCTTTCTTTCTCAGATGTGGTCTTCATTTAGGATGTGACTTCTAAGATGCGGTCTTCATCTTATCCTTTGCGAGATGCGATATTCATCTCTCTTTCTTCCTTAGATGTGGTCTTCATTTAGGATGTGATCTCTAAGATGTGGTCTTCATCTTATCCTTTGCGAGATGCGGTCTTCATCTTATCCTTTGTGAGATGCGGTCTTCATCTCTCCTTCTTCCTCAGATGTGGTCTTCATTTAGGATGTGACTTCTAAGATGTGGTCTTCATCTTATCCTTTGTAAGATGCAGTCTTCATCTCTCCTTCTTCCTTAGATGCGGTCTTCATCTAGGATGTGACTTATAAGATGCGGTTTTCATCTTGTCCTTTGTGAGTTACAGTCTTCATCTCTCCTTCTTCTTCAGATGCGGTCTTCATCTAGGATATGATTTCTAAGATGTGGTCTTCATCTTATCCTTTGTGAGGTGTGGTCTTCATCTCTCCTTCTTCCTCAGATGTGGTCTTCATCTTATCCTTTGCGAGATGTGGTCTTTATCTCTCCTTCTTCTTGAGATGCCACTTCATCTCTTCTTCTTCCTAAGATGCAACTTCATCTAGGATGTGATTTTTTTTTTTTTTAAAGACACAACTTCATCTTCCTTGAGATGCAACTTCATCCCTTCTTCTTCTTGAGATGCAACTTCATCTAGGATGTGATTTTCTGAGATGCAACTTCGTCTTTTCTGAGATGCAACTTCATCCCTTCTTCTTCCTGAGATGCAAATATATCTAGGATGTGATTTCTGAGACGCAACTTCGTCTT